ACCCCTGTAAACCTTCTGCACACAAATGTAGTTCTCAGAATCTGTTTGTAGGAGAAACTGACCTATGGCAGTCACAGAGCTTGAACACAGCGGAACTGGGATTCTAATCCACATGTGATCGACTTGGACACCCTTTCTCTCTCTGCTCTTCCACAATGTCTCTGTCTTGACTTTGATCAGTCATGGGTGGGCTAGGGTCTGGGGATTCCCAGGTGAATATGACACAGTCCTTGTCTTTAGGATATCCTATTCCTCTGGGAGAAGCAGTTCCTCAGGAACAGGATGCCAAGGGCAGAGCAGACGCTGGAGGAACCCATGGGCAGCCCCACTGGGATAGGCTATCTTGGGATCTAGACCACAGCAGTGCCCCTGCCAAAGTCAATGAGACAGGTTCTGCTCCAGGCTCAGACTCTATAACCTCCAGAGAGGATCTCAGCCAGCAGGGCCTACAGCAGGCACTGCTACATGAGTCCCCTGCGGTAAACATGGACCAAAAGCCACCTGGGTGTCTGTTTTTATGGAAAAGGATATAGAATTCCCGGTCCCTGGCTGGGTCAATCCAGGCTCAGCTTAATTATCAGCTCCTTGAAGGCCCAATATCCTCTTAAATGTCCTTTCTCCAGCTTCTCCTGAGGTTTGGTGCTGCTCTGATGACCACCTTTATCTTCTCTGCAGTTTCTCTCCATTCTCTCCTGTGGCTCCGCCTGTTCCTGGGAGTCTCAAGAAACTCTCCAAACATACTCTCCCTCCTATGATTCCACTGCCCAGTGCTGCCTCCCAGGCCTCTACCACACCTCTCAGATGCCCAACAAGTGTCAGAAAGGAGAAAGGGAGATAGGAAGGAGGAAAGAGGAGGAAACAGAAAGGAAAAGGGAAGAGTGGTGGTTGAGAGAAATGGGAAGAAAAAAGATCAAATGACAAACTCATGATAGGGATGCCCTATATTTATCTGTTTTAGCGTCTCAGGCCTCCAAAGCATCAGTGAGTGTTTCTCCAAACACTCTCATCCTCCAAAGCAGGCCCCTTGCCTTCATTTCACAGCTGGAAACACTGGGGCTCAAGAAAAAGGGAGAAAACTTTCCTGAGTACATTCCGAAGCAGCAGCAAGCGATTCAGATCTTGGGCATCCTAATTGCCTGGCAATGCTGAGACCCTGGGTGTGAAGTACTAATGGGCAGATTCCACCCACGTAATGATCAGAGAGCGGTGAACAGATGCTTGCAGCCAGATCACAGCCACATCAGCAGGAGCGGGAGTCACTCCAGGCATTCTTCATACCTGCTGGCTTCAGGTAAGGGCCGCTGGGCCTCAGGAGAGGCAGTTTCTGGGGCAACCACAGCCTTGGTGCCTTCAGGCTGTGCATTGCACATGCACTCTCTGCCATCCAGCACCGGCTTCGGAGGCTAAAAGGCTGAGGCCTAGCTCCAGCTCGTCCTCCTATTTGCTATGTAGCCTTGGCCAAGTCCTTCTCTGGCCTCCGTCTTCCTGCCTGTAAAATGTGAAGGCTGGATGCAGTGGTTTCTGAGGGACCTCCAGAAGGGAGACCTCCAGGATCCAGGGCCCACCAGGTGAGAGACACACATGGACCAGCCCCACATTGAGGCTCACTTAGTCCCCTCATGGGGTTGAACACCAGCCTCAAATAACCAGAGGCAGCTGGAGCTCCTCAAGGTACCTGGCCTAGTCGCCCTCGATTTCCTCCAGGTCTGTGCATCTAAACTCCTGGTTCTGGGACTGGGGCCCGAACCCCTCTTAGCTGTAGAAGAGGAGGAAGAGAAACACCAACACTTGCTAAGCCCCTGTTCTGGGCTGGGCACAGAAGCACTGGCTTTTACACATATTTCTTGCTGGGATTTCCCCAGTGAGTGGTCTTATCCCCACCCGAAAAATCTAAGGTTCAGGGAAGTTAAGTAACTTGCTCAACGTCACACAGCTCTTGGTTGCCAAGGTCAGAATTCCAGCCTGGAGCAGTGCATGGTTACCCTTGCATCATCAGAGAAGTCATTTGCCATCAGAGCCCATTCCTTTCCTCTCCAAATCAGAGAAGAGTCCCTGTGCATTTTGGGAGAGGAAGACAGCATGTTGCCCAGAGAATCCAGGTTTCAGGGCTCATGTGAGAGGAGGCCAGACACAATGGAAGAAACCCAGACTCTGGGAACAGCAGCCTTGAGGTTGGGTCCTGACTCTGCTGCCTGCTAACTCGGTAAACTTGAGCAAGTTATAACCTCAATTTTCTTATGTGGAATGAGAGAGTATTAATATCTGCTGCATGGAGTTGTTGCAGTAATTGAGCCTGACAATGGATATAAAAATATCTGGCATAGAATATGTGTTGGATAAATACAACCCTCCTTCCCTTTCTGCACAGCCCAGCTTCTCTTAGGCTCAAGTTCTGATTCTCTCTTATATTTTAAGCCCTGAGGGATGGACATGGATACATTTACTCTAGCAAAATGTCTCTATCATAAAGACGTGCTCAAGAAAGTGGTTTTCTTCCTCTGCCCCCGGCCATGGAGCCCCAGCAAGGAGGCACAGTGCAGACAGTGGCCGCGGCAGCCGAGCTGGCCACAGCAGGCGCTGCCTTCCTCCCCCAAGCCTGGGAGCCTGCCATCTCTATGCCTTCCCCTTCAAGCTGAAAGCTGGCACACAGGCACCACAAGCCAGATGTTTGAGTTTTGTTAAGAGCAGCTTAAATAAAGCCTTTAGAACAATAATTCTCAGCCATCAAAGGGACATTTCTCTTCTGACTTCATCTCTCTGACACACAGGAGATTTTTAAAAGAAGAAACAGGGGAGGAAAACAACCCCTCTACAAAGCAGGAACATTTTTAAAAGCACAGCGATTTTGCCGTCATGCTCTGGCCTTTCTGATATCTCCAATGAAAGAGGAAAGGAATTTTGGGGAAGAGCCAATTTTTCCCAGCTCTTGGCACATACCTGCAGCTCCAGAAGTGTCTGGGGGAACCTGAACAGGTGGTGGCCATCTGACAAGCTCCCTAAGGCAGGGTTTAAAGAGACATACACTTGGATGACATTGCCAAGTTGGGAAGTGTGCCTCTCTCTCCCTTCTGACACCTCTTCTTCTCCAATCAAGACTTTGCCAAGAGGGTGCTTGAGGGAGGGACAAAGCCCACCCCTCCACCTCCATGCAAGAGGGCACCTGGAAGAGGGACCCGAGGCTGGATGCCCCTTGTAGCCTAGAGCTCTCCTTCCCAAGGAAGGTGATAATAAAGGGAACACAGAAGGCAACACCACCCAGAAGGTTGTCATAGACATGGTTGCAAACGCTTCCAAGAGTCAGGTACAACACATCATTGTCATGGTATAAGCATCTACTACTTGGAGTTGAAGACCAGATTCCTAGAGACTGCTGAGCCTGATGTAGCTTTAAGAACAAACCCTGCCTAATAAGAGCCATTAGAGGAATCACCTGCTCAAAAGTGAAACAAGGTTTTCAACAACGATCAAATAGCTACCATCAGATCTGTCCTCCCTCAGATAACAACTATAAACTCTGGAAAATATATTTTAAAGCTACTTAAAGGCACTGGTGAAACAAAAATCAGGCAAAAATGGAAGGGAATTGATACTTGGAAGAACAGCAATGGGTATACTTAATGTTTTTAAAGCTTTTCTCCTGAGGGCAGATCATAGTCAGTGTCACATAATGTAGCTAAATTTATAGGAAACCCACAGTCTTAGTTGCTGGAAGAATCAGAGAAAATGTGGGTGAACACGTCCAGTGGAAAGTGACTTGAAAAATCCTATAAGGGAGACAGTCACAAAGATTAAATCCCAATTTCTATGTATAAACTGCCCAAATCTCTGGCTGATCCTTCAGCATACATACATAGGGAAGATTCCAACAACCCAGCTAAGATTAAAATAACTGAACTGAGATTTTGGCTACTGTGCACCAGAGGTGAGACAGAGTTTGAATTCTGAGTTCAGCCAATTTTTTTTAAATCAAAAGTCTTCAGAGGAATATAATAGAACCCAGAGTCTCTCCAATATATCATTCAAAATGTTCAGGATACTATCCAAAATTACTAAACATATGAAGAAACAGGAAAATGTGACCATACTCAAGAGAAAAGGCAATCAACTGAGACCATGGTGACATGACATTGTGGCTTCAATGGAACAGAAGTGGGCCTGGAATAAGAAATTGCTTTGCAGGAGAAGCTCCAACTGTGAGGTCAGATAAGCCTGGGTTTGTGTCCCACCTCTAACACTCACAGCTATGTGACCTTGACAATTAGTTCCTTTACTTATCTGAGCCTCAGTTTTCTCATCTGCTAAAAGAAATCTGCCAAAAGAAAATAACACTGCCTTCCTTCCATGATTATTATAGAACCAAATGAAATAATGAATATGAAGGTACCTGGAATGACATTTGTCATATAGTATAAGATCAATAACTATTTCTTGACTCAAAATAATGATTTTCAAATCAACAGTATATCCCTATCTTCTCTACCACAACAGTCTGTAAATCCTCTGACATTCCATCTCCTTCTTTTCTTTTCTTTTCTTTTTTTTCAGACAGAGTCTCACTCTGTCACCCAGGTTGGAGTGCAGTGGTGTGATCTTGGCTCACTGCAATCCCCGCCTCCCAAGCAATTCTTCTGCCTCAGTCTCCTAAGTAGCTGGGACTACAGGCGTGGGCCACCACACCTGGCTCATTTTTGTATTTTTAGTAGAGACGGGGTTTCACCATGTTGGCCAGGCTGGTCTCAAACTCCTGACCTCAGGTAATCCACCCGCCTCAGCCTCCCAAAGTGGTGAGATTATAGGCATGAGCCACCACACCTGGCCCATCTCCTTCATTTCTTAAAATGGAAACGTTTTGGATCAAATGCCCTGAGTCCTAGCGAAATCTCTCTAATACAATCTAAGGGACAGCCCCTCCCATCTGTTTATGCATCATAATAATGCATGCATAATGCATGCATAATGAATGCATCATAATAATGCATGCATTCAGACATATCTTCAAGAGGGCCCTAGAAGAGATTAAGAGAAGAGAAAGTAGCAAGGCCTCTACCTAGAAATCATTTTCGTTAAATGGTTGTCTGAACAAAGTCCTCCCTCCCCCAAATCCTGGAACCTGGAAGCCTCACCTGCAACTGGAAGCATGTTGATCAGGAACTGAGGTACCACGATAGTCATAGGATCAGATGTTACTCAGGGTAGAGGGAGACTGAGAGTTGACTTTGTCTAGTCTCTTCCTTTCAGACATGGGGAAGCTAAAGCCCAGGAAGGAAATATCATTATGGCAGGTGCCCATGGCAAATTAATGGAAGAAGAATCCATCATCTTCATACGGCACCTTAGAGGATACCAAGCACATATCCATTCATAATTTTATTTCATACTATACCAATACTACAGCTTTATTAGCTATAAGGAAGGGCTGATGGAAGGGAATGCTTTTCCCCTTTTTGAGATGAAGAAATTGAGATTCTAAAACGCAGTATGACTTGTTTCATGTCACCCTGACAAGTAATGTCTACTTGGAACTCATTCTAGGTCTCTCAATCCTTTATCCTCAGACACAGCCATTTCTATCAGACCATGTACCTGAGAATGCTTTTCTTGGAGTCCATCCCAAGCAGAGGAAACTGGACAGAAAGTAGGACAATCTCAGGAGGATCCACCTTGGGAGGTGGCAGGGACCAGCCTCTACTGGTTAGTTATGGGGGCAAAGTCAGCCAGATTCCCACCCCACCTGTTCTGGGCCCATAAAGCGCTGGGGCTTTGATCTTAGGAATAGCCTTTGGGACATCTCTCTAGGCTTCTGGGGTTGGATTGCTGTAGGGGATCTCACCACCCTCAGACTGAGAGGACCTCCTGGGAGACTGCAAAAGTCTCAGAAGAAGCCTTTTGTACAACTGGGCCTCTCTCTCTCTCTCTCTCACACACACACACACTCACACAGACACACATACAAACACACACACACACTCCTGAAGGCTATGTTTGCTCTGGAAGGCCAGCCAAGCCCCTTGACTCTGGCCTAGTGCCCCCTTCCCTCTGCCCTCATCCTCTTCTCCTCAGTACCCAGCCCAGGCCTGGTCTACAGAGAAACCAGATTAGGGTTTGTGAGTAGCCCCTCCCTCTAATGCCTGAGGACAGTCCTTGCTTCCTCATTGGACCACGCTTGCCCCATCTGTCCAGGGCACAGACAACTTCCCCTCAGGCTCATGGCCTGGAGCTGAGGCCCAGGGCCTCTACACTCTCTGTAGCCCCACTCCCACCTCTGCCTCCCCACACTGTGCCCCCTGCCCTCAGACCCGTCCTCCATCCCTTCCTCATCCCCAAATGCCACTATTCTGGGGTGCTCATAAATCGCCAGGTTTGACTCATTTTTCTTCATAAATCCAGAGCTTCTGGCCTCCTATTTGATTTGTGTTCCTGAATTATCCATGAAATTTTCAATGGCTTAGCGAGCAACGGCTTCAATTTTCAGGAGCAGAGGTCCCCCTCAGCCCCTGAGAGATGCTACTGAGCTGGTGATGGTGGGGTCACCAAAGGGGGTAAAATCAGAAAAGAAATGGACTTAGCCGGGCACACAGTCTGCTCCTGGAACAACGACGCATCCCCTCACATTTCTTTGAGCCCAGGATCATGAATCGCCAAAGCATGAAGCCTGGAAGGAAACTTCAGACTCACCTGATATTTTAGAGGTTTCCTTTTTTATTGTGGTATAACACGCATACTGTAAAATTTACCATTTCCACCATTTCTAAGTGTGCATTTGAGCAGCATTAAGTGCATTCACATTGTTGTGCAACCATCACTACCCTCCATCTCCAGCGCTTCCCCTGATTCTCCAGACTGAAAAGCCAAGTGCAGAAAGACAAAAGCCACGGCTCAGGCTGCGCAGCATGTCCTACTAGAGGCCAGCTTAGAATCTGTCCAGCCAAGGGTCCCCAAGAAGCCAGCCCCGGTGGGGACAGGGCTGTGTGTGTACTCCTGGAGAGAAAGGGCTTGTCCCTACAGTCTTGCCACCTGCCCCCACCCCAGCACCTACTCACCCCCTTCTTCCTCTAAAATGGCCCCCAGCTGCAATGGAGCCAGCCTGCGGTGGGGGCTGAGGCCCCCAGCAGGTTTATGGAAGCCATTCATCCCCAGCTGAGAGCTTAAACACATCTACATAATCAGCTCCTCTCGACCCGCTGCTCCCACCATTTCTCATGAAACCTCACTGAGGCACTGAGTCTTTTTCTTTTTTCTTTTTTTTTTTTTAATCAAAAACATCAATCGACACAGAGCAGTCCGGAAACCTCCTGCCTCCATTGCCAACCCTTCCCCTCCCCCAACCAAGTGGCTGGGTAGGGGTGGGGCTCTGTGTAGACACAGGACTCTGGTGTGACACAGACTAGATGCAACCCTGGGGTAGGAGGGGGACAGTGATAAAATGCATCTCCCCGGCACACACAGACACATGCTGTGCACAACAGGTGCACGTGAGTGTGAGCATTTAATTGCCGTGGGAAACCATTTCCTGATAATAAATGCCACCCCATCTCTCTCCCTCTCTGCTCTTGCCAGACGACTTTTACTGAAATATTTGTCCTCACAATGAGCCCTCAGCCTCTATCTGAATAATTCATACCTGGGTAGAACTGGGTCTCACTGGGAGGTATGGGATGAAGTGGAGGAACTGGGGAAAGCAGCTCCTGACAGAGGTCAGGGCTCAGGCCAGTCCATCAGAAGTGGGAGGGAAGAGCATTCCCTGAGAAGGTGACATTTAAGCTGACAGCTGAAAGTTTTAAACAGGGAGGGGAGAGCATTTCCAGGCAGAGGGACCACAGGTCTCAAGCCCTTGCCTGTGACACCTTGTCCAAGCCAATCTCTTCTGGGTAGGGGGTGTCCCTCTGCCTGGCTCACCACTACCTCCTATCCAGGAACACAGCCACCCTGTGCGATGGACCAGGCAGACATTTTAGAGAGGAGGAAAGTGCAACTGAGAGACATTGAGGGACTTGCTCAAGGCCCTGTGGACCAGGACCAGGACCCTCCTACCTCTAGATCCTGTTCTATGTACTTCCCTGGAGGCCCCAAAGAAACTGAATGGACGCTGAGGCCAGCACAGGTCCCACCTCCTGCCCCGAGGCCCCTTCATTCCGCTGCGCAGCACAGAGAGATGCTGTCCTGCAGAGCAGCCTCCCAAGAACGGTCCAGGCTCCAGTATCTGACCACCTGGCTGCGCATCTCACTCCCTGCAGCAAACTCCCTTCACCTCTCAAGCCTCACTTTCCTCATCTGTAAAATGAGGTCAGTCATGTTCCCTACTCAATAAGGTTGCTCTATAGTGTCAGTGCTTACATAGGAAGCACTCCAAGGAAAAAAAAAAATGTAAATCGGATTAGTACTACTCAGGTTCAGGCACCAGATAAGATTAAGTGTTTTCATTTGCCTTAAAAATGAAACACGCAGTCCAACCCTCACATCCACGGTTTTTATAGAAATCAACACTCTCTCTATCCTATTCCACCTATTTTCCACCCCCTACAAATGGCCAAAACTACTGATCATTGCCCCATGAGAAGAAAACATCAGGTGGCTGTGATGGTCCATTAAGACAAGTGTAGAGTGGCTTTGCACACTGGAAGGGGCTGCACCAATGGTCTTTGCTGATTAACATGCTCTTGGAGTACCAGCCTCATTATCTGATGCTCCTGGGCCCTGACACTCCCTCTACTTCTATTTTTTGTTTGTGAGCAAGCAGCCATACAGCTGCACCTAAATCATGAACAGACTTTTTGTGTTGTAATCGAATAAAACTTACCACAAAGCTAATCAGCCACACATGGGTGCTGTGCATTATGATTATTCTGCTTCTTGGAGATAAGCTCCCAATAGTAAGCAACGGCTCAGATAAAACGTAGGTTTATGGGTTTTTTCTTCGTTGGTTCTTTGGAATCTTTAGATGGTGCTGGTGTTAGATTTAAGCCATATCACAGACACATATGCTGAAATTCACTTTCAGGAAATTCCAAAGGCTCTGGATCCATCAGCCAGGGTTCCCTGATGCCCTTGACCCATCCAGCCACACGCAGGCTGAGGTTCCCTGGGCCCTGGAGTATGTCTTTTTCATTCCTCCCATCAGATGTCTGAAACGCAAGCCTGTCCATCAGCCTCAGGGAGCTGTGATAGAAAGATCATGGATGTCTTACATTCAAATCCTGGCTCTGCTACTCACTAGCCACATGACCTGGTATAAGTACTTTTCTTTTCAAAACCTAGTTTCTAGCCAGGTGTGGTGGTTCACGCCTGTAATTCCAGTGCTTTTGGGAGGCCAAGGTAGCAGGACCACTTGAGCCCAGGAGTTCAAAACCAACTTGGGTTTGAAGTTGTAGAGAGATCATATCTCTACAATTTTTTTTAATTAGCCAGGCATAGTGGCACATGGGTGTACTCCCAGCTATTTGAGAGGCTGAAGTGAGAGTATCCCTTTTGCCCAGAAGTTCAAGCCTGCAGTGAGCTGTGATTGCACCACTGCACTCCAGCCTGGGAGACAGAGAAAGACTTTGTCTCCACAAACTAAAAACACCTTGTTTCCCCCTCTATACATTATACATGGAGTCAATGTAAGGATAAAGGAAATCACATATGTTTTAACAGGGTGGAATATTGTACACTGTTTCAGTTCCAATACCAGCCCAGCTACTGGAAGGCTGTGTGGCCTTCGACAAGTCATTTGACTTCTCTCAGCTTCAGTCCTCATCTGTAAAATCAGAATAGGAATAGTACCCACCCCACAAGCTGTTTGTGGGGATTCATAGTGATATTACATATAAAGTGCATGGAAGAATACCTGACACATAGAGAGCACAAAACAAATTATCGGGGTGGTTGTTGAGCATTGTTACTTGTCCTGTGCTTGGCACGTCTTAGGCACGCTTCTCAAATATGTTGGTTCCCCATGTTTGCTCCCACATGGAAGAGACAGCACAGGAGTCCTGGGCAATGGTAGCCTAGGCACCCACAGCCATTGCTGCGTGGCCCAGGTAGGTAGCACTGATCCTCAGCTTCATTTGGAGTAGGGATGGGGATGGAATTGGGTAGAATCTGGACAGGGAAAGGGCAGGGAGGAAATCGGACTGGTGGGAGGCCAGAGCTTAGGCAAGTAAGGCTCCGGATCTCAGGGGTGTGACTTAACAAAGCTGATATACCCAAAAATGTGGGCCTTCACCCTTGGCAATTCTGAGAAGAGATGCCCAGCAGCCCTGACTTTGAAATGTGCTCCACTCAATTGCGAATGAATAATTTACAGTCTTTGATCTTATATTGCTGAGAAGGAGAGGGAGAAGACCATGAGGGCATCGGGTACAAGAAGATGAGAAAGTATGAGAGGAAATAACTTAACCCTCTCTGGCCTATCTGAACTTTCAAGTCCCCCTGAGAGACGACTGGCAGAATCTGGCACTGGAAAGCCTGCTGACTCCTTCCTGTCGGGGCCCGTGCACCCTGGGTAGCAAGAGCCACGTGAACACGTTTGGGTTAGTGCATCAATAAGATTAGCAGGAAAGAAAAAGGAGAAGTTGTCAGCATGTGAGACACAGAGGTGTAAAGCTTTTATCAGCATTGCCAAACGACTTCAGTCTCCCCCACCTAGATCCCATCGCTCCTGCTGACAAACCACTCTTTTTCTTCATCCAGAAAACACTGATATAGCCCTTTGTCCACCAGCCTGTGGGTGTGAATGACATGAACAACACCCAAATATTGCAAGTTCCAAGCACCTATCTGCCAACTCAGGGGATCTCAATCCTCTGCAAACCTCTCTCCCACTCCTGGGAGCCCCAAGAGGTCTCTCACTATGGATGGGGCTGGGTTTCCACTCTCTAGTTTGCTCTGCATGTGGCTTTGTTCCCCCAAGAAATCTGCAAATTGACTATGACAAAACACGTTCACTAAATGAGCTTGTTAAAAGTCATAGGATTATTTTAACCAAATAATTTTGAGCACCGACTTTGTAGCCGGCACCGTGCTAAGAGCTCAGCCTGCTCCTGGAAGGAAGCAAACTCATCCATGCCCTGTCCAGGGACTGCAAGAAGGGTACCCACCAGGGTGCTGCTTGGGCACCAAAGGCTTAGAGTTGATGAAATTATGTTTAGTCCACACACACAGCTTTTGCTCTCTGGAGACCCTTGACCCACCAAATTCACTCAGTTTGGAGGGGTTCACACACCCATTCCCAGAATGACTGCCCCTCTGTTTCTCAGGCAGTCTGCAGCAGCCAGACCTCAAGGCTAAACCTTTTCAGCCCCCATGATGAATTCTCTCTCAGGGACCCCACTGTCCTCCAGCACCCTGGCCTCCACTGCCCCTCCCTTTGGTCCAGCAGACACAACTCTAAATATGTGTCACCCCATTTTGTGTCACCCTATTTGTAGACAGAATTCAGTGCTTGCCCCCCACAAAATCTTACTCTTCCACAAATCCATGAATGCAAATAGGTCCTTGGGCTAAGAGGGGTCATTACCATACTTGCCAGCTTCATCAGAATCTCCGCTTTGGCCTGGCTGACCCAGAACCTGCTGCCTCCCTTAGCACCAGGAGCTCTGTCCTGATTGACAGGCCCTGGTGGGAAAAAGCCACTGGGGCTCAAGGCTGGGATGAAAGCCCACTTCACTAACATTGCCTGTCCTCCCAGAGCTGGGCCTGGTCTTTTCTGAGCCTTGCAGGAACACAGTGTAGATGTGCCTGGGATGCAGGTGTCCCTGGCATGGCCA